TTCTTCATGTGCGTCTCAAGCTGCTGGATATCTGTAACAACCAAAGAGCTTCCCAGGAAGATGTTCATGCCATCGGTGCTGTGGAGATGGTCAGGGCACAGATCCAGCTGCCAGGCTATACACATTCTCCAGCAGGATCAATTACTTAGCAAGTGTTCAAGAACAGGAGAGCAGGGAAGCGAATGCATGAGCCTTGCTTTGGGCTGTGTTACACACTAACCTAGAAACCCTGCTCCCAGGGTCCCCATTAGAGCATTACATGACACAGCAATAATGCCAAAGGTTCTCTTGTGACAGGTTCTTTACAGGGACTGTTTGTTCAGTGCAAGATAAAGATGGGGGTGAGGGTATTTCATACACAGTATGGGTTATGATCTGCATTAGTGACAGACTTCAATGGCAATAAAATCACTAAGAGAAAAGAGAAGGAACATGTCTGACAAAAAATGGTGTCTTCAGAGATCAAAAAGTTGTATTTTAAAATATTGTATGAACTGGCCTGATCAAAAAGCAGAAGAAAAAGAACGTTCTAGGTACTTGTAGCAGCCCTGGGAGACTTGTAAGAAAAAAAAAACACACCAAAATAAATAGTAGCTGGACACAGTCTGCAGATCTAGGAACAAGAGAAGTCCCTGTTCCAGCAAGGAACCTTCCCCAGTTCTATTATGTCTCTGAGATGACGGATCACCTGTAGGAGTGCTATCCTCTCCACACTTCATTCTCCTGATATCAGGATGGGACAGTCCCACAGCTGGGCTTCGCTACTTAGAGATGAAAGCACAAGTCCACAGAAGCAGGAAAAGTATTTTGCTGCACAGGCTACAAAGACCAAAGGTGTATTCCTGTTCTTATAGCAAACCCTACAAAGATTTCCTCTCTTCTCCTTCCATTTCTGAAGCATGAAAAGGAGTGCGTTTTCAGACCATGCAGAAGGGCTAAGAGATTAAACAGCTACCAACGAAACTCTGAAAGGCAAAGGCATCAAGCAAAGGCCAATTTGTCAGCTGCGGAGAGAAAACTCAGGGAAAAAAAAAATCCTACTCACATTCCTGTGTGCCCTGCTTGAAGGTTTCATTGATTTGCTGGAACATGGACTGGCAGCTCTTCTCAAAGGCTGGCAACACAACACTTTGGAATGCTTCCCTGTACGCTGATTGGATTGGTCCTTGCAGGGTATCGGCCGTTGCCCTCACAACGGTATCTGTAAGGTTCTTACAAGCACACACAGAAGAGGCTTCAGAAAATTAACAACATCCTGCTGCAGGTGTAGATGTAAACAAACATCATACATCCTTGCAACACACCCACAGCAGAAAAGGAAAGTCCACTGTCAGTCAGTCATGCATTTTCCCTGAGCAGCTGAACTCTTTCCATTGACCAAGCTGTACCACAACTACAGCAGGCGGATAACCTGCCTGCTGACAGACTGCTCAAGAACATCACGGCTTCCCTGTAGTTCAGTTCTAGAGCAGGAAAAGCAGCACAGTCAGGCTGGGCTCCTCTCTTCTCCCTCAACTTCTCTCCCACAATCCACTATTCCCTCTGTCAAGGAAAGTAAAAAGCTTCTACTCTCTAAGTAAAGAGAAATGGAGAACAGAGCAGGGAGCAGAAAAGCAAGTCAAACTTTAACCACGTGGCTGATTGAGATAGTCCTAAAAAACAGTAATGAGACACTCTACTCCAGTACAACCAACAGTAGTGAGAATCTCTGTTCCAGTACAAAATGAACAACTCAGTACAAAATGAAGAACTTACTAAGGTTAAAGAAAGGGCTAATGAGGCAAAGGAGGCAGAAGAGTACACAACTCTTCTACTCTCCTGATGAGGCCAGAAAAGAGCTTTGTTTGATCACTGGCAGCTAAACAGACCTTAGACCTACCTGGAGAGACAGGTGAGGAGAAGAGGTATGAGGAGTCATTAGCCAGGGAGATGACAGCTCAGTGTCCCCAGAGAAAGTTACAGTCTGGTTCTCCTTACCTTTGATTTCACTAGTTTGGTGATGTTCTCTTTCAGTGTGCCCTCAATAGCAGTGAGCTTGGCGGCAACAGTGTTACTTAGCTGGCCAGCAATAGGTTCCATGCTCTTGGAAATGCCTAGACACAACACAAATAGGTCAAAGTTGAAGCTTTAAGCCCAGAGACAAACTTCAAAACCTGAGAAGGATGACAGAGTCAAACTCTTCCAGGAGGTGCCAGATGATACAGCTCACAATGGTCACAAGCTCTGGCTTGGGAGGCTAAGGTTGGACATTACAGAATCACAGAACAGTTCGGGTTGGAAAGGACCTCCGGAGATCATCTGGTCCAACCCCCTCCCCCCCACACCCCCCCCGCTCTAGCAGCGTCAGCTAGAGCGGCTTTGCCAAGAAGGTGGTGCAGCCCTGGAAGTCACCAGAGACTATGGAATCTCCACCTATGAAGATTTTCAAGACTTGTTCAAAGTCACAGCTGACCTGATCTAGGATTCTGGGTAGCCCTACTTCAAGCAGAAGTGTGGATACTAAAGATTCCAGAGGCCTCTCCCACCAGTATTTCTAGGAACCCTTTCTTACAAAGAAGGGGCCAGTGAGTCAAGGGCGGGCAAACACAAGTTTAGGCTTGCTTAAGTCTTAACACTTCCAAACTCATTGGCCTCCTTGTGCCTTCTGTCACAGAAAGGAAGGAAAGACTCCAAAAGCTTCGTGGCTTATCACAAAAGGTCATACCATGCCCTCTGAAAAAGTGTTCCCAAAAGTTACACCTCTGGGAGCCTCATATTCCTTCCACCCCCACACTCTTCTCAGACTCCAGTGGGACCCCAAAAGCTGAAGGTGCAAGGACTAGTCTTCCTGTAACTTAACTCCTATTTCATATAATGCCAGCACTCTTACACAGCATGTTTTCAATCTCTACTGGGCTAACTGTAGAGATCCACCTTCAAAATCCAGAAAGCAACACTTACACTGGGGTACTGTCTTCTTCATCTCTTCACGAATGGTTCTCTCCAGACGATTACACACTGCAGTGGAGAGAGACTGAGAGAGCTGCTGAGAAAGATGCTCCTGGAGCTGCCCATTGCGCTGCTGTCCTTCAGTCAGTGCTCGGTCTAGTCTCCTCTCTAGTAAGTACACACATTAAGGAGCACAAACAACAGATTTCCTCCACCAACGCTCTTGTCCTTCAAAGATGGACACTAATCTCACCTCCAGAGGGTCAATGAGAAGGAATCTGCTGCACTGGTGTGAGAGGGGTCTAGAACATGACTAACGTGTTTCTGTAAATAATAGGGTTCTATCAAACAAATGACCAGGGTGAGAAAAGAGCTCTGGGGGAAGATAAGGCTGTAGTAGAAAAGCCAAACAGCTAAGAGAAGCTTGACAGCAGGGCTCCCTACAGAAGCCAAGAAATTCAGTATCCATAAAAAGCAAATTGTTAAAAACTTCTCTACAGGATGGAATTGGTGGACACATGGACACAAGTGATCTACTGCAGGGGAGCAAACAAGGTTAGCCACGCTTCATGGAACAACTGAATTCTCTGAAGGGATCAACATACAGATATGAAGACGTATGTGCAACTTCAAAAAAAAAAAAAAACTACAAAATTCCCCTTTTTCCTAGATCCCCTACCAAAGGCTATTAAAGAAAATAAGCTGTCTCAGAATTAAGAGATAAGATATTCCAGTGAATAAAGAAAGGGATGGCAGGAACAAATATCAGGAATACAGTCTCTTTCCAAAACAAAAAGGAGCTTATGAGTGAGACCCACTATAGGGGCCTGTTCAGCACAAACCAGCCAGAAACAGAGATGGCAAAACTTACCATACAAAATTATTCACCATCATCAAAACCAAAGCTGACTGCAAAAAACATAGAAGGATCTCTCAGTATTCGTTGAAAAGACAATTCAACTATTGGCATAATTCAAGGTAGATAGGAAATTGTGAAAATAGGAAAAAGGAATTTTTAATACTACAATATAATGCTAGACTCTGAACTTCAGGAGAAAGGTAAGCGAGTTATTTATGGAAATATCAGCCTCATGGTCAAAACGGCCAATCATCAGAAAAAACAGAAGTCATTGTCAAGTCATTGTAGAAATCTACAGTACACCAACATCTTACATGTGGCAATAGCTCCTCTATCTTTTATATAAAACTAGAAGAGGTACAGAGCAGACTAATAAAGATCATTAGTCAAGAGTGCCTTCAGACAAGACATGAAATAAACCAGTGTCTCTTCAACAACAGTGAGGAGAATGCGACAAAATTTATTGTAGCAACAGACACACAAGAACTGATTACTCGGAACACAAGCAACAGGCATGAAGAAATGATTGGATACCAGGCTCAAAAACAACAAAAGCAAGCACTTTTCAGACAACACGTAAGGGACCCGGGGACCTCAAAGCCACCAGAAGTAAATATGTAGTATGGTGGTCAGATGCAATTTCTGTTTCAAATGAAAGGAGGACAGGATCACCCCATAAACACACTCTTCTGCAACTGCCACTGGCTAAGGCAGGATAACGTAGTAGATGTACCTTTCATCTACTCCAGCATTGCAGCACTTGAGCTCTTAACGGGTAACTGGAATACTTTCGTGGCATGGAGAAAGTAGCAGTTCTTCTCCCTTCTATTTCTGACTTTCTTGCCCTTGAAAAGGGGATAGAGATCAATCAGGGATTGAAATAGGTGCACTGCAGCCAGGCCTTCTTCTAATGCACCTATGGCCCACACTGCTAAAATCTTTGAACTGTTAGCTCCTCTCATGTCTCATTTGGCTTGCAGCCCTTTGCTACTTTAATTCTCAAGCAACATTTGCAAACAACTGAGTGATTTTAACATTTTAGGTAGAAGGTTGCCGAGGGCCTGGAGGAAAGAGAACAATGTCTCTGAAAAGCAAGCCCAGAATACCTGGCCTGTTCGAGGCACACCTACAGAAAAGTTTCCTAGGAAGGATACGCTCCTGCTCCTGCTGGGAATCAATCACCCTCTCCACATGGCCCATGAGGGAGCTCTGAATGGCATCAAGGTGATCCGTGAGTCTCTGCAGCAGCTCCATCTGGTTCTGACGCAGCTCAGAGAGCTCTCGCTGTTGGCTCCTCAATATGCACATCAGCTCATCCTGGAACTCAGGTGTCACCTGTGGGTGGAGAGGACAGGCACTCAATTCTAACGAGATCAGAAGTCAAATAAGTCAAGATTTCTGCTAGGTAGTGAGTTACCCCATGTGCTCAGGACTGAAGCACGACACAAACAAGGCAGAAAAACGAGACCAACTTAATGCGTATCTCTAAGGCTTTCCCCCCCCCCCCCCAAAAAAAAAAAAAAAACCACTAATAATGCAAGGTACATGGAGCTCCCACACAGAATTTACAAACGGCCGCTCAGAATATCCTAAACTGTTTAGATTCAAGACTCCCTCCAAAGCTCTGGCATCTAAAAGGGAATAGAACAAACCAGATCCTATTCACTTTTGGCCACATACTGAGAAAAAGGATTTAGGTCTCTGATGTAAATAGGGGCCTCAAACACTTACAAAAGTGCTGTCCAATCAATATAGTAAGAAGGAGCTTCCCTAGAGTGTTTTCTCAGCTCTCTTGCATGTTTTTGAATAATCAAACAACTGGAGAAGTACACATCTGTGGTTCACAGGGTCTATTCATCTGCTCAAAAAACTACAGGTGGCATAAGTAACCAAGGACAGTTCAAAGAGCAGATAACTCAGCTGACAGCATCTTCTGTCTGATAGGAAGGTACTATCAACAGGCATAAGAAATTCCAGTAGGCTAGTTCCATTCTGCTCCTTACTGTTTTTGGAACAGCTTGTCCTGTTGCTGATACATGCAATTCTTCTCAGCAGGAAAGGGAAAAAAAAAAAGAGGGGTGGGGTTTCGGATGAGATGAGGCTTATGAGAGCACAGAAATACAAATCAACATGTGAAGGTAAGACGACTTTGCTCTGGACAACACTGAGTAGCTCCTTCTCTGCTGTGCAAGTCACAGAACTGATCAATGCCAAGAAACCCTGCAGGGAGGTGCAAACACCCAAATCACAGCCCCATTTCAGCTTGCCCAGGCACAGTGGATGCCCTTGGTAGCTGAAGGGACCAGGATGCTCTTTCCTTCAGGTTTTGTGAGCCAGTAAACAGAGCTGGAGCATCAGGCCCTCGGGAAGGACTGCAGAAGCAGCTCTGTGACTCACCTGGTTGTTAGATGATCTTGGTGACTGGTTCACATCCCTGAAATAAAAATAAATAAGCAGTAATGTAATTATGTCAATTACCTGCTCTGATTATCCAAATCCTCTGCCAAAACAGACCACCTACTTTATAGACTGTTTTAGATTTTATACTTCAGCTCATGTATCTGTTTTGCCTAGTACAACATGAGAATGATAGGAGATGAAGCAAGCCCAGTCCCTGCAGCACTGCGACTCCATCATTTCCACTATTCACAGGCCTTACAAACCGGTCCCTTCACAGGGACGCTTGCAACACGTCAGATATTTCTGCTAAGCCTTAACGAGGACCGCTACAAAGAAAAAACGCACACTGATTTTTCAGCCTTGTCCAAATTCAAAACCAGAGAAGCCATTTGGGCTTTTGAAGGTTTCCTGGTATTTGACAAAGAAAAACCTAGTACTCATTTGTTAAATATAGAATTAATGAGCTTCAAATCATCTAGAATTACTCCAGCTCTTGAGGTGAGGAAATCAGTGATGCATTCCAGCATAAACGGAATACAGAAAAAACACTGAACTGATCCAGTAACATTGGGGGGGAGGGGGCGGGCGGGAAGAGAAAAGGAGAAAGTTATCTGCAGTAGCTATGCTACTTCTCTCAAGTTAATGCAGACAGGTCAAGTTTGCCACGGGCAGATCTTTCCAGTCATCAAGTTTCAATTACAAGACATTCATATAGCCACATTTAGAAACGCACAAAAGTAGCAAGCAAGTAACAATGGACAGATATTGTTGAACAGGCCCTGTGCCAGCATCTAAAAGCCAACCAGAAATCAAGGCCATGTTAAGCTATACCCACAGTGTCATAGTTCCAATGAAGCTTTCACTGAAACAGGCAAATGGATCCAGTGTCCTCCAGCAGTGTGTAACAGTGATTTACCTTCCACAAATTCTTCTGAAGCCCAGACTACATTTTGGACCAAGTCCCAGCTGGAAAGGTAGGACAGGTCCTACTCCCATACCCCTAAGTAACAGCTGGTGTCCAAGTAGCCAACAATGCTTTCTGTGGGGTTACCGTCACTTGCAAATGGGACAACGGTTGGGAACACTTGGCCACAGCTCAGCGTTACACCCTAGTTTGGTTGCTAATGGCTCTGTCAGGTTGTGGCCCTGCACAGCTGCTCCCATAGCCACCTGTATCCTGGCAAGCCCAGCATACCCGTCATCTTTCTTGCCCTTCCGTTTTAGCTTTGGGGAAGCCCGAGGGGATGCCTTGGCTTTCCAGTCCTTCACAGGCAGCCTCTGCGTAGATGCTTTGGCACCAAATCCACCTGACGTAGAAGCCAAACTCGCAACTTCATCGTCATGGTCACTATGAAGGAACAGTAGGGGAGAGGACATCATTTGCAATACTGGACAACATTAGCCTGTACTAAGGGAGAGGGGTTCACACACTGTTCTGCATCCACACACGTTCAAAGTCACTCGACTAAGAATTCCTGCCACCTTGATCTTTAACACAGAGACCTCTACAGAGCTTAGCATAGCCTGCCCCATTTTGATCCAGGACTGCTCAGGCCAAGCTTCAGTGCTGCATGGCAGGACCTGAAGGGCCTCTGCATTACAGAGAACTATGGGTCAGGCAGCGGAAGAGTTTGATGCATGTTCTTGCTGCAAGCACACCAGCACAGAAGCCCTGCGATGTAACTGCTGACCCAGTGGGGAACCCAAGCATAGCATATCCTGACAGCTTTTCAGACAGAAAGCACCTAATGCAGCAAGCATTGCAGTAAGAAAGGATAACGAGATGGAGCCTAGGAATTGTGTGCGATCCTTGTTACCTTAGAGTCTTTCAGCTGCTGGCCAGCTACACACTTTGGTCCGAACTGAAGCATGGATTACAAACAAGCCCTCAGCTGCCAAGCAGGGCTAGTTTGCCAGGCACAAAAAACGTGGCCACAGAGCTTCAGAGTGGCTAATGATAGAGTAAAGATGCCAAAACCAGGAAGCTATGACTACTGAGGTAACCCCACTAACTTAAACATAGTATTTCAGTACTGGTCCCTTAGCAGGTTTACACTGATAATTAAGCCAAGACTGATTCACGCTCTTATGAACGATACAGACAAACATTTCTCTGTAGGGGATAAACTGGACAATTTCCAGACGTCCATCTCATGATCAGCTGAAGTGATTAGGACATTATGGAAGCTTGACTGCATACACACATTCAGTCAGGAGACAAAGCAAGAACATTCACATGAAGGCTTGCTGGGGACAGAAACACGAATGTAGCCTGAACTGAGTTCACGCAGGGCAAGAGAGGGCGCTGAGCACTCTGGTACCTCTGTTCTGCACTAGCATCCTGGCTGTCATGCTGCAGCAGGTGGTAGCTGTGTCGGTGATAGGAAGAGCTCTTGTGCTTTTCTTCAACTTCATCCCTCGGGCTAGAGGAGAAAAATAAGAATGAAAATATCATCAAGTAAGTCTCCTCCAGCTGGATATTTGCTCACTCCACTTCTCATGGGGCATACTGTTAGAAGGTCTTTTAAAAAAAAAAAAAAAATTCTAGCTGCACAGATCCAGAGAGCAACAAGTGTTTGGAGATACTAACACAAACTGCACTGCACACTTGTCTTTTGGAAGGGACAAGCAGCTCAGCTATGCTTCAGGCAGTAACCCAAGAACATAATCCCCCAGCAACCAAGCATGCAGTAGTAATCCACCATTCAAAAGAGGTACAGTGCATGCCAGTGGATAGTATCACCTTGGGCTTGTTTTTCCTTAAGTAATACTGATCACTGGGACAAAATTCAGTGCCTCTCAGTTCTCCCAAGCTCTGAAGAGAATAGAGGGAAGCATGACAATTTGACAGCTTAGCTCTACCAGATAGGACAAGACTGCACTAGTGAATCCAGTCAGAACTTCATAAAGGTTTTCAGAGCAAATTGCACATGCTTCTAAGACTAGGACTATTTAAATTCAATATGCAAGACGATCATTAAACAGAAGTGAGTACTTGTTACTTTCAGGAAGGCTGATGGCTTGACTGGACTGAAACATGTCCCTTCCTTTGTTTTGTTTTTTTATTTTAATAGCAGTGAGCAAATGAAATAGCTCAGATCCAAAAATATCTGATCTGATATTCTGATCTGAGAAGTCCTAAAGAATTCAGAGAGAGTGGGATTGAGGGGGGTTGGGAACTCCTCCCAAAAAAATCTCTTCTGAACTTTGAACCATGAGCAAAAGCAAAAAAAACACAGCACGAAGACACAGCCTCAATGCTCTCCCAAAGCCATAAGAACCGAGACTGTTTTTGAAGCAGTATCTTCAGCTGAAGGAGCAGAAGGACAGGCCTTTCTCTTGTAATTCAGGCAGGGAATAGAACCGCTACGGATTGGA